GAAGCGTCAACGTAAACGGATACACGGGCTTTTCTACGTCGCTTTTATTTCTCCTCTCGAATCTAAATATTAAGACGGTGGCCGAGGAATAATGGTTACGTCAGTTCCAGAGGATTTAGCAGCTAGATTTAATATTTGGTGGATTAACCCCTTAACGCACAGTTTTTTTGAAAAAGACCGGCCAAAAAGAATCAAATTTTTTAGTATATATATTTATTATATATATTATTATACTTATTATTAGTATATATATTTAGTATATATATTTTATATACTATATACTAAAAAAATTGATTCTTTTTGGCCGGTTTTTTTCAAAATAAATATGTTATAATATATATTATATTATATTATATATAATATATAATATTATAATATTATTTATATATATATATATAATAAAATATATATATATATATAAACATATAGTATATAAAAATAAGTATAGTAGTGACTCTGAAGATAGTTCAGAAGAAGATATAGCCGTCGATTGGAAGTTTTGGTGGAGAGAATTTTGATATACTGCGCTTTTGTTCCATGGAAAAGGCTATATTTTATTCTTGAATAAATAAGTGTTACAGCTCATAATCCCATGTAAATGATAAATATCAATAAAACGATTTTTTTTTGCTTTCACATCGTTATTTTCAATTCTCGATTATATTCGAGTGTGAAAAATTATAGCAGCATAAAATACAACGCCGCTCGAATTATCTCGAGTGTGCACAGTTTTTGGCCTGTTCAACGCGCTCGAATTAACTCGAGCGTACAAGTTAAGGGTTTAATGGTCGCTTTGGAACGCGCTATGAAAGGATAAATTATGTGAACGGACGAGGTGGTGGGAGATTAGAAGAATTGTAACCAAGCTCTGTTTTCTTGGTCGCTAAGACCGCATTAAAAATTTTTTTCAACAGCTTCAAGCTTAAATCATTAGCAATGCATGCTAAGTTGAATAAGAGGATTAATATTGATCACTCTCAAAGAAGTAGGTTAAAAGATACGCGAAGATAGATCTAAGTCGCGGCGGCCATGATACGTGTTATCAAAAGTCGTCAGTCTTAAGGATTATGAACTAACCGGCGGCCATGTTGATTTTTTCATTTGATCTTTTTGTTACTGCGGTAGTACACTGTGCGGTGAACTTTTATTTATACGAACTTCTGTCTCGACTGGTTTCTGCAATTTTTAGAAATATTTGCAAATTACACTCGACAAATTTCATTTCTAAATCTCGTCGATGCATCTCTTTTGTGCTTTCATTCTTTCGCTCTTCGCTTAACCGTGACTCTAGTATTTCTGGTCGGCTATAATTTTCCGATTTACGAGCAGCAGCAGGATTATGTTACAAATCTCTGAGACACTCTCGGTCATTAAATTACTATCATGTTGTATCATGCTCGTTTGTTGGTCAGTCTTGGATCGTTAAAACTAACCGTCGGCGGTATTGAAACCAAATATAACCAGGCTTCTTCTACGTGTCACACACACTAATTGACCTAGTTTTACAAAATAATACTTACGTAAATCGCGTCGCGATTCTCACGCTATTTATCAATATTTCTCCGAACGTTAGAAGGAATTTGTTTATAATCTCCGAGCACGGACACGGAACGCTAAATTTCTGGTTGCGCGAACAATCGCACCGATAGACTTTCACGGTGTTACCATTTCATTAACAGCCCCGCCGATTTGAAAATAACGCGTTATTAATAATTCAGACAGGTTGCATAATAGATTCCATATTTAATATGAGAACAGTAACATTGCCGGGAACAATGCTGCTATTTATTAACGAGCCAGGCCTTAGCGTAAAGCGTACCGTACAATTAATGCGTTACTTGGAAAATTTAATCAACATATGTATACCAAATAATTATCCACGAATGTAAGGCGATACGTATATAACCGTTTCTCACAGCTTCTTTTCGAGTCAGAGCGGAAAATGCATAAATGAATCGCTAACACGTTAGTGGCAGTAACGGTGCACGTTATCAAGATGGAACTTCGCAATTATTTATCGTAACACCTTGAAGAACGCCTATTTGCTTTTTTTCTTCGCAATGTTACTGCGATATCTGTGATATCCGTGGCAGATGATTCTGCATCTTGAGAAACGGAAGGGGCATCGGCGAGCCTCCTCCTTCGTTTCAGAACTGGTAGACAGCGAAGGAGAGTTATTCATTCAACTTTATATCAAATATATTAGATATATTAAATATATTGGATATATTAAATGTATTAAGTATATTAGATATATTAAATATATTAAGAATATTGGATACATTAGGTATACTAAAAATATTGTGGATATATTGAATATATTAAATATATTATGGATACATTAGGTATATTAAATATATTGTGGATATATTGAATATATTAAATATATTGTGGATATATTAGGTATATTAAATATATTGTGGATGTATTAGGTATATTAAATATATTGTGGATATATTAGGTATATTAAATATATTGTGGATATATTGAATATATTAAATATATTATGCATATATTAGCTATATTAAATATATTGTGGATATATTAGGTATATTAAATATATTGTGGATGTATTAGGTATATTAAATATATTGTGGATATATTAGGTATATTAAATATATTGTGGATACATTGGATGTATTAAATATATTAAATACTGTTGGGCTTAAATAAACAACGCAGTAGTTGTTAAAGAGTATTTATTAGAAAGGATTGATCAGGATTACTATTCGCCCATGCTAGACCACAACTGTACACACTACAGCAGTAAATATAGAAAAAAACAGAATGGAAGTACAAGTTGAAAATACTATACATATATTAACATTCTCGAATTTTGTTTTCACTTTCTCCCAGTTTTCAATTTCATATGGATCGATTGATTTTCCGACGTCCACGATAGCCGAATTGTACACAGATGAAAACGAATCGAATTTTTCCAGCGCCTTTCGATAAATCGAATCCACTTTTCAGATCACGTACACCTAATTCGATGTTCAACGAGTCTGTCTCCCGCGCAACAGAACGAGTCACGCCTAATCATTATTCACGGCAACGTTCGTTTGTGTTGGAAGTAACGCAATGACGCATACCACTCTGCCCACAATACTGTTAGCCTTTTTTCCCCCCCTTTTTTTTGTACGACTGTATGATTGACGCTTGTGCGAAATTGCTACGTAATATCCGCGTGTAAGTGTCGACACTTCGTAGTTGCGCAGGATAAAGGATAATAATTATCGCAGCCTTGCTAAAAGTCGCCGTACAACAATTCCAATGCACATTCTCCCATTCGCTGATTTTCGAGAAAGAGACCATTCTCGCCGGATCAGTCGTTCAAAC